TCACATTGGACAGCTAAAGTGTAATCTACCAGTTTTCACCACTGAAACATGAAGCCCACGAATGACAACAGTCACCACACGCACATCCACACACATATACGCAACGACATTGACCTTTCGAATCTGGATCAAATACCAAGACTAACTCACCTAGGTCTTTCTTATCCCAGATGGCAACCAAGCAGTTGCTTAGTTCTTGTAATTCTTGTAATAATAGATTGCACAAGAAAAATTTCCTCCTCTATGCTTAATTTTTATACAGTTTTTGTTGGTTTAACACTCTTGGAATGCTTACTTTGGATCGATGCAAAATTTACGGTCCAATATACGGCGGCCAATAGAGCTAGAGGGGATCTTCGAGCCGTTGAGCGATAAGTTTCTCGGGACGTGTTCTGAAATCCGACTGGCCAAGCGTCTCTCAGTTCTTCCGATATACTTGCAATCGCAAGTACATTGAAATAGGTAAATACACGAGGAGGTACCTCGAGAGTTTAGCTTGTCCAAGTTGGATTCAGCGATCATTTGTCTGCTTTTATGCAGAATAATTAGCACAGCGGCGTTGTACGTTCTTGATAGAGCTTGTTTCAGCCGACTTTGTCATAGTTTCTCATTCTGATCAAAGGGTAATGTGATAAGAACGGATGTCTTGGGTACGTCGTTTCGCCTAGTTATAGTCCCTATGTTGTTGCCATACTTAGCAATAAAATTCCGCGAATACCCGTTATCCTGTAATGCTCAGGATATCAGTTCAACATCGTTTTCGAGTGTTTCCGTAGAACAAACTCGTTTCGCTCTAAAAAACAAGTGGTAGCAAGTATATCGGAAGAACTGAGAGACGCTTGACCAGTCGGATTTCAGAAGACGTCCCGAGAAATTTAGCGCTCAACAGTTCGAAGATCCTCTCCATCTCTACTAGCCGCCATATGTTGGACTGCAAATTTTGCATCCATTCAAATATAATTATTTATTGTAAATACATGATTATGAATGCTTGCAAACAACTGCTGACCTGAAATCATATTAAATGGTAGTGTGAGTGGGAAAATGAGAATTAATCAATCTGTAATTTTACGAGAGGATTGGAGGGTTGGATTGGATTACATGATGAATTCCTCGTGTAAATGAGGCGTAAACTGAAAAGCTAGGAAGCACAGGAACAGCTGTTCCGACCTGGTTGCTTCCGTCGACCCAACTGGGACTGGAACCCGGGATCTCACAGGCAGACAAGCAAGCATACTACCCACTTGGTCACGGGCAGCTGATCACACCGTTTCCCATTTCGAATGAACACAGTAAAGCTAAACCCAGCCTGTTACAGGTAACGGACCTCGCTCATCTCAGTACTAGACTCCGCGTTTATGAGTTGGTTGGAAAATTTCACAACCTCATTACTTACTTCGTAGTTTTTCAGCTCACGCCTCATTTACACGTCGAATTCATCATCTAATTCATAGATTTCCCCGTTGCTCAAATATGACCGTGTGGGTGGTCTATTCCGGCCACTGCATCCAAAACTGTTCGAGGCAACGTGTTCACTACGGGTAGGTCAACTATAATAAATATACAACAAATTCAATCGTTCGCAATTATTCCCGTACGAACATCACTAGTGGAGGGAATTGACCGGGCTGTGGAATAGTACCCCCTAACCCCGGATCTCTTCTTCCATAAACACGCTTGGACTCTCATCCCACAAGGCAAAGTCCGTGATTGAGTGAAACCGGTCCGTCCGTTTTTACTTACT